ACATTTTTACATTCTTGTACTTTCTACAATAGTTGATATAGAATTTTTGTGTTTTTACTAGAAATTCCGTTTTCTAATAGTTTTTCATTTTTACATTTAAAATCTGACATCCTTAAACTCCTACATCTATTTATTATGAATCTTTAAAATCTTACTGACAGTTTTCTTTATCACACTTTCCAAATTCTACAATCTAAAATTTCTCTGATCTATTCCATTTGATAAATGTAAGCTAGTTTGGTTGAAAAAACGAGGAACCATCTGGAATTTGTCAAGAAAATATGAATCTTTGTTGTGCTTTTAATTGTTGACGCGATCTATTTTGATAATGATAATACTCTGCAGTCGACTATACTATCTCTCCAACTATATTGAAACTCAGAATTTCATTAAACTTGAATTGAAAAGTAAAATGAGAATTGATCTCTAGGTCTGGTTCTAACTTAAATATATATATATATATATATATTCAAGGGAATTGAGTCTTTGCCACAAATTCAGTTTTTGTAAAACCTATATCATTGCAAAGTTATGATGTAAACCTTTGATATTTCAAACTTACATTATTTGATCTAACAGAATTCATAGTTTGAAATATTAAAGGTCTACGAAATCCGGTTGCAACGATATTGAAATTAGAGAATCAGAGTTTGAGGCAAAAACTCAATTCCTTTATATATAAATGTATTGTTGTAAAGTTGTCGGACTAACTTCTTGATATTCTTGACTACCTTGTATTAATATACTGTAGAATATAATTTATTAATGATAGATTGATGTTTGCCAGGTTTATAAATACTCCGAGTATTCAAGGATTTCTAGTGTTTTTATAATCTTTTCTACAAACCAAGTTTTCTCTTTTATATTATAAAAGAAAATAAGTGAGGTTATTTTTTCATGCCTTTTAATCGAATAAATAAGATTTTTTTTTCAAAGTTTTCTCTTTTTAAATGTAAGGGGCCGGGTGGCGCTTTTTCGGTTCCTGACGTCTTTGTTTTAAGGTGAATATATATTTTGATTTTTCTAAAACTTTTAAAGGTTTGACGTTTTATTACTGTGATGTTTAGAACGTTAACAGTATATGTTTTTACTTTTACAACATTCTACAAACAATGATGCTTCCTTATCTTAGAAACAAAGGTTTATAGTTTAGGTATTTAAAAGTCTAAACCAAGAAATCATGTTTATATTCTGAAAGAACAATGTCTTATAGAGCTAAACTATCTATTCCTTTATTCTTTCATATCTTTCCTGCATAAATCTATTCTAGTGTTTAAATTCAAAGACATCATTGTTCTTAAATGAAAATACAAAACGGGCATATAAAGGCATGAACTTAAAGCTAATTAGTTTTCGTATTTAAAATAGTTTAAAAATAAAAACTTATGACTGAAAAAAATCATTTTCGTGGTTGATGAAGAAATCATCCAGAAGATCTAGGATATAAAGTTACCCGAAAATAATTATTTTTTTCAAACCATTAATAACTTTCAGATTTTTAAAAACATGAATTTATTCAAAATTCAATTTTATTGAAGATAAAACTTTCATTTGTCACGGAGTTTTCGAAAGTAAATTCGAATTTCAAATGTACACGCTTGTGGTACACTCATGTCATATATTATTAAATTCTAAACCATGGCAATTTTTTCAAATCAGCTTATTAGGTTTGGTGTACAAATGTGGTGCAAAAGTTGTAAAGGAAAGAAAAGATCTCGAGGGTTGTTTACTTCTATTTGATTTTTACTTGTAAATATATTTTGGTTCTAATAAATCTTGTTTACAAGGTTTCATTAATCTGATATTCATAAATTAATCTCAGTCCTTTCACACACACAGAACAGATTACAAAACTAATCAAAGGTTTCATCAAAGGCCGAGAAAATACTTGGGATGGCAGATAGGATAGGATTAAGGAGGGGAGGGTGAAAGAAGGTTAGTGTATTATAATAGAATGGGCTATAGGCCGGGAAGTCTGTATGTTTAAGCGAAGGATTGCAAGCAGTAAGTTTGAAATACAAGTTTTGTGTGGGAGTGATAATGGAAAGATGGCAAAGAAATTAAGTTTTTGACAAAAAACAAATTTGCTAATCCCTAAATCTTTGCAACCTGATGATGTAAACCTTAGACATTTCAAACTTAGTCTGTTTGATTTAACAGAATGTATCGTTAATTGAAATATCGGGTTAAAAAGATATAGAGATTAGAAAATCAGAGTTTGTGCCCAAAACTCAACTCCTAAGTTTAAGTGGTTTAACATTTTTTTTAAATTCTCAGCAATTTATCAAAAAAAATCCATAGAAATGAATACAAAATTTAACAAAATTTCTTAATATTTTTCATTTCTAAAAATACTTCGGATTTTTGGGCCCCGGAATGGAGAGAACACAAATCCCGAGGGTGAGAGGTGGTAAGGAATCCAAGATGTGCACTGTGCAGTGCAATGAGTAGGAGTGGGCTCTTAGAACCCCGAAAACCAAAGAGAATAGAATATATATTAGAGTAGAATTTACTAGAAAAAAGTGTAAAACGGCCATTTTCTTGTACTGTTTCCATACTGCAGGTGTACTTCACATATTTGTGCTAAATAACCTTTTGGCCTGGAACATCATTTTATATAAAATCTAAAATTAATATTAGAAGAAAACCAAATTATGAAATAGGCTGGTTTCATAATTGACCAATGATCATTTCACATAGACTCTATGACTTTCACTTTACAAACGATGATTTTCCGTTATAACTGTAAATCAAATGATGTTTTTATTCACCTAATTCATTTAAAAAAGTTTATTTAAAAGCTTTAAAACATTCGAAATTGAAATGGATAGTCTAGGGAACATGCTGAATTAGTGTACTATACTGCATATAATTTGTGAACATTTACATGATTTGTACACTTTGAACTCCCTTTCAGGCTGGAAGGAACTGATAAATTTCATACATACCGAGGGATTGTCTAAAGTCCACTCTAATATATATTCTATTCTCTTTGCTGAAAACCTAAAGCATCCTTTTAAAGTAGGAAACAGACCGCCTACCCCCACCCCATATATCTTTTTTAAATAATTAGTTCTTGTCAAAGCCAATCTTCTCATCTCTCTGATGTAGTAACCAATGTCTAAATGTCCAATTTATAAACAATGACAAATGAAAATTCAGGAGTGGTTAGCTAGAAATGGTTGTTTCAACAGGTGAACTCTTTAACGTTGTGAGATTGATCTCTGTCAGTACTTGTAAATGATGCTTGAACTATATAACATCTTGGTGCTTCTCCACAAGATAAGATTCATGGATTAAGGATTTTCAGTTTTCTCGTGAGGGATACTTAAAACAGATCGCTAAAGTTATTTTTAAGGAGTGCATATTGAGGTGCTTCAAAGCTAAACTGTACCTACAGAGATTAAGCTCTATTCCCCAGGTATAGAATTAGGGGGAAGGCTAGTAAGGTATTTAAAGGAAGATTGGTTGGTTGTTCTTTTTCTTCAAATGTTTATGTATATTGCATAAAGTAAGTGTTGGATGTAAGCTATAGAAGATCAGAGTTTATTGAGGAACGAATTAAATTATGATCTAAATTTCGGTTGTTTTACAACACATTGCTGACTTGGCAGTTTCCTCTGAAAATATATTTTTATGACAGAACCCTCACTTCAATACATTTTAAATTCGGGAATTTATTTTATCGCTAAATCTTATTTATATAGAAAATGCAAGCTTCACATAAATTGCATGCAAGCTTAAAGTGACCTCCCTTTTTGTCTTGTAAAAATTCCAAGAATTTTTCTCAATTTTCATTTTCTAAGGTATATTTTCAAGCATGAAATAAAAAAAAATAAAAGAAAAATTACATGCAATTGATATAAAAATAATTGTATACATGGATATGTTAAATATATTTTGTGAACGTGGGAAAAGAAGGTTCAGGTATGGTAGGAGGGCCAGGGGAAGTAAAAAATAGTAGTAAAATGTCTTAATTTTAAAATAAATAAACCTTCCTTTCATTCCTCCTTTTTTTCATGGTAGAAAAGCGCTAAATTGTAATATTTTTCTTCAATATTCTACTTAAAAAGTGTTAGTTAATTCTTTTTATAAAAACGGCTGAATTGCAGATCCGACCAATTACGCAACTCAAAACCTCACATGACCCCAAAGAAGGGCGGCTGGTTGAAGTTGAAAAACTTTTCCCGGTGAAAAATGTTGACATTTTTATTTAAGAAAATGCACCGATTTTAACAGAAAAATCTAATGCAGAGTAAGCAAGAGTTAAAAGCTAAACTTGTTGCTAAAAAAGGGACTTCAAGCGCCCTTGTATGTAAGGCTAGTTATTAAGTTAAAAAACTCTTCATTTCTATTCGTGACTTTTTTCTTCTGATTAGTATGCAACCCTTAATTTTAACTCTTTCGACGCAGCTAGCTGTTCATAATTTAACGTATAAATTCGTTGCAACAACCAGAAAATAAAGATGTTGTCTTCAGTCTCATAGCAGATCAAATAAGTCTTTTAAATATTTTGGCCTACCCTGGACTTCCATATAATTATAGAAAAAGTTTTTACTTTAGCTTTTTAAGTGGTTTGTAGTGTTCATGTAATATTGTAAAAAAAATACACTTAAAAACACTTTGTTCAATGTAGCCTTAAAAAAAAGTTGCCTTTAAGCAAATTAAGAAAAAACAAAAGCAGAATTTTATTTAAATTTCTTTACTGTAAAATGAATTATTGATTTTCTATAAGATATCAGATTATTACAACTTTGAATACTAAGAGTAGAATTTTATTTCGTTGTATGTTTTGAATCATGGATTGAGATAGTTAAATCGTTTTAATTAAAAAATGTATTCCTGAGTTTCAAAACAATCCTTAGCTTTAATTATACTGTGAAACATATTCATGAATCTAAAAGAAAAAGAAACAACTTTTTTATCGTTTGTATTCAGATTTATGTGGTCGAAAAATATATTCAGTTTTAAACAGGGGGGTTAAGGGGTAAAGGGGTTACCTGGAAGTATGAGAGATAGATAGGGTTGTTTGACACTTTAAGTTACTGGGTTTATTTTTGAAATAACTTTTATTTCACTCACAATTACACATTAAGTCATTTGAAGTGTAATATTCTAGAATTTACACACATGCATGTAAATATAAAACTTCATTAAAAATATTTTAAATATTCTCCTTTTGTTTCTCCGAAGCTGTCTATATGTTCTCTCACCGGAGGGTGATAAAGGACTGGGGGAAACTGTCCCGTAACTTGGACTTCGGCCAGAGGCTGAAATCTGCAGGAATAAACACGTGCTTTGCCGGGTGTGGGGCAGGGGATGCTTGGCGAGAGGTGGGGGATGGGGTTGAAAAGGTGAAGTAGGAGTGAAATGAGGGAAAGAGGGATTTAAAACTGCTGTGTGAGATTCAGGCAAACGTGCAGCCTCTGACTAAATAAATTCATAGAGTTTTATAAATACTAGAAAATAATTGATAAAAGATTGTGTTATGCAGGGCTAATGGTCAAAATGTTCGCCCTTCTGTAGAGTCCAGTGTAATTTCACATCCATGTAGCAATCAAACCATCCTGCCTTTTATATATCCAAGCCCTTTTATATACCCAAGCCCTTTTTTCAGGATCGAATATGCAAAAAAATGCAAAACGCATGCAAATACGAAATAAAGCATCCCACACTATTCAGCAATTCTAATAATTCAATGACTTTTTCAATTCAAACACAGCTGCGTACTTGTTAAAACTTAAAACTTTTTAACCCGTTTAATTGCAAACTATGAATTTAAAAGTGCCAAAAGGATAAGCATTTGTTGAATAATAGCTCTTAACTGAAAATCCATGTAATGTATATAAAATTCACAATTTAATTATATTAAATTGACCACAACCAAGTTCGTTCAAGTTTGTTTCAAATCCCAACCTGGATCCGGCCTCACATCTTTGCATATTCACTTGACCAAGTATGTAAAGAACTGTAGCCCATGAAAGAGACTCATTAAAGAACTTTTATAGAATACCAAACCCTGAATGAACAACTTCTAAAGGGGCAATCTCTTGAAAAGGCAACCCTCTGAATCGTTTCTTTTACTCAAAAATCTGTTCTATCGTTTTATATTTGAAACTCGATCAACCCAGCCTAGTCGACACAATTGTAGATATAAAGTGATCTGTAATAAGTATCATTCGTTTTTCAGGGGTTTATGGATTTTAAAAGGTATTTGAGAAGTTTTACAAAAGTCAAAATTGATTATTTTAAAAATTTGCTTTTCTTTCACTTTAATTTTGGCCATGAGAGAAAAAAATAAAGTTTTGAAATGTTTCTTTCTTAAAAACTCCTCTCCTTTAATGACATGTCCTCATTGTGAACCGTTTAACCGATATAATATCCTATTCATAAAATGTCCGATCTAAAAAATGTCTCCAATGTTGGTACTTCAAAGGAATTGAGTTTTCCTCACAAACTCTGATTTTTTAATACCTCTATCTTTGCAACCCAATGTCGAAGACCTTAGATATTTCAAACTATAAACTGTGTTAGGTCAAATAATATACGTTTAAAATATCAAAGGTTTACACCGCCAGGTTACAAAGATAAAGAGAATGGAGTATTCAAGTTTTTGGCAAAGACTCAACTCCTTTGTGTTCTCATATATTCCTAACTTCAAAAAAATTATTCGGTTGTCAAATACAATTTTTTGATGATTGGATATTATATCTATTGTATTTTTAACAGTGTTTTATGTTCTGATTCTGGGTTTACACATTATTAAAGTAGAGCCCAAACATGCACGAAATGTTAAATAATATTTTACATTAAGGAAATGCCCCCGGTGGTATTTTGAGCAGAGGAAACATCAGTAGGAATGGGGTTGAAAGTTGATGCTATTGCAGCCTTTGAAAGTTTCTTCCAGTAGACGTTTATTTATCTTTAAAGGTTTCGTTTCAAAGAAAAGTCTGGTTTGGTATTTTCTAAAACACAACACTTTGGCGTGCTACAACTTTAAAGGAAAAGAGTTACTCAACGATTAACTTTATTTAAAAACTTAACTTATCTAGTAAAATAATTGAATCTTTAACACATGATTTTATATCAGCTGATCTGGAAACTCCTCCTTGGATTTCTCTAGAAATATTCAGGAAGACGATATTCATATCCGCCACAGTACTCCCCCCAGAAGGAACTTACAACTTTAAAGGAAAAGAGTTACTCAACGATTAACTTTATTTAAAATCTTAACTTATATAGTAAAAATAATTGAATCTTTAACACATGATTTTATATCAGCTGATCTGGAAACTCCTCCTTGGATTTCTCTAGAAATATTCAGGAAGACGATATTCATATCCGCCACAACACTCTTCCAAACGAAGTTCAATCTCACTTATTTTTTGTTATCATAATGTAACGAGAAAATTGAGGTTTCTGAATATGAGTCGATAAAAGATATGTTTAGGTGGAGAGTCTGTTATATGAGAATGATTGTGAAAATGTATTAAGTTTACCTTGATCTCCCTGTAGATTAAGGTTATGTTATACATCAGCCGAAGAGAGGGGGGGATGATGGGTGGTGGTGAGGGGTTTGAGGGGGGAGCCAGGGTATTTAAATAAGGGAATGTAAAAGAAAGGTGAGGGGAAATAGAAGGGTCAACCCAAGAAATGTATTCCCCACCAAAGCAATCTAGGCAATGCTACAAAAGAATATCCTCCAGCTTCTCCCTTTCCCTGCCCGTCTGTTCATTGCTTCGTCCCACTCATCCCCCATCCCACCACCGTCTTCCCCAGTATCCCCCAGTATGCAGACATACTGAGCTTACATATTTTGACAGCTCCGAGACGAGATAATCAATTTTTTTTGAAAAACGGAACTTATAAATGTTTGGATTTCATGAAAAAAATAAGTCCGTGGCGGCTTCTCAGATGTTCTGACATTTAGAAATGTAATGATAAATGTATAAATGTAAAAGTTGTAGATTTGGAGGTTCAAGTCAAGATGGATTCCTTTTCATCTTTCTTGGTCTTTACGTATTGAAGATTTTAGCTCCTTCTCATCTATATTGACATTAAAACTGTGTTAATTTAAGTTCCCTTTTATTGTTTTTATAGTTTTCAACCTAGTCAATTGTTAAAATCTTTATCATTAATACTCTATTCTGGTTCTTGCGAGAAGAAAAGCAATGGTTTATAATAGGATAATTAACAATATACCAACACTACTGAAGAAATGTCAGAGAATCACTGAGTGCATTTATCAAATAATCATTAAATCCTTTATGGGTCATTTATTTTTCCAAATTATAAAAGAAATGATAAAGTGTTTTCTTAATTGTTTTCTTCGTCTTAATCATGAATGTGGCTCAATCAATTGATATAAACCATGTGGTCTTAGACCGGATATTTTTATATTCTTTCTGTTCAAAGGGGGCTATTGGGTGCGTTTTTTTCATTTCGTTCGTTCATCGTTCGTGAACTTCCATTTCGTTCGTGTTTTTTTAATCATTAAAAAAAATTTTTTTAGAAAAGTTCGTTCGTTCAGTAAAAAAAACTATCGTTTTTTTCGAGATCATTTAACGATTGAAAATCGTTCGTTTTCTGATCGACACAATCGTTCACAAAACATTTCGTTCGTTCAATAAAACGATGCCCATCTCTAGCTTTGGGGGCTGGAGAATAAAAGACTATGCTTATCGGGGGGGATTCAGCTCCCAACGCTCCTTCCCCCCCTGGAGCGTCAAAAAAGGTTAAGTCCTCCCCTGGAAATATAACTGTGTACACTTTGCCCCTGATATATAACAGCCTAAGATGAGAGAATAATAACCATGGAGTTTCATATTAAAGTTTATTTACGGCTGGAAGAAATGAAAATAAACTTATTCTGTCTTTGCAGATTGCAGAAAAAAGATCTGTCATATCAAATATTATAAAAATGAGTAGAATATAGTGGTAGTTTTCATCTCATATAAAAAAAATAGAAAAATTGAATTAAAAAAAATGTTTAGCCTACGTTATACCCCAGGGTACCGAGGTTTTTCTGCAAAAATAATGTTGTAGGTAAAAAATCGAAGCAGAAGGAGGGAACACAGAGATGTAAGGATTAAAAATTAAGCCAAGCAGACATGACCGGCCTAACAGAAGGGTCAAATGGAGATGTAGGAGCATCTCAGCATCTGCAGAGGGTTCACTGACATATGGTCAAACGCCTTAGGGTAAAATGCATAGAGTAATAAAACGAAGAGGTGAAGCTTAGCTCAGATGTACACAACCGACCTCCCTATTAATCAATTAATAGAGTGGTCGGTTGTGTACATCACGATATGTTTACGTATCTAACACTGTACACTTGTAAATAGAGTGATCGTATTTCTAAGAAGAATTTTATGGAATTGACGACTTTCTTTCTTTATTTAAAGAGAATTCGATGATGTTTCCTGTGAACATTTGACAATTTTCAAATTTGTAGGTTTTCAATTTATTAGCAAAAAATTTTGTTAAAAATATTAAGTTTCTAGGGCATGAATTTAACTTAATACATTCTTATTTCCAACATTTTTATTGCTTCTTCTCTTCAACTCTTTATCATAAACATGTCAGTGTATGCAGGGTTACCCACAAAAGATGAAACAACGATGACGACCTGGAGCTCTTAACCCTAAACAGGCTGGGGGGGGGAGTTTGGCTCCCCCCTCTAGTTTTTTGACAAATCTATTTACTTTTCATAAATAGAAATTTAAAGTATTTTTTTGTATTTTGTTATGCATAAGGCAGGGTGCAGGGCGATAAAAAACCGGAGTATGTAAAAAAAAATCTTAAATAGCCCATAACTTTTTTGACTAAAGCTACAGATCTGAAAACTATATTTTTGAAAAACACATTTGTCACACTTTGATATTTGTTTAAACAAAAAATTTTTAAAACATTTTTTTGACCTTTTTTTTCGACCATATCTAGCACTATAAAAGTTATCGATCTAGCTAATTTTGTTTCAATGAGCTGGCCTTGAAAAATTTGGCTATGAACATGCATTTAAACCCTATACCTATTCGCTAAGGCCTTTTTCTAAAGGGGGGGGCGTGGGACGCCCCCACAGTCTATTCATAGATTCAGACCCCCCAGCCTTTATAGGGTTAAACATAAACAACAATCTAAAGGTTGAATTTAGTTTCTGTCTCAAATATTGTCTCGTTCTTTGTGGGTATTGTGGTATTGTCATAATCACAC